CCGGGAGCGGCCGCTGCGTCGCTGGCCGCAGGGACACCGCCGGACGAGCCGAGGGGACCCCCTTAGACGACGTGGGGGGATGTTGCGAGTTTCACTCCTCGCGGGGGACGGCTCGTCCAGCATTGGGGTGGACAAGAATGATTTGTTTTTATTTATCGTCGACAAAAAAAATTAACTGTCATTGGGCGAGCTGATTTATTTTTCCCCATTTGATGCAATCTGCTGCATACACCTTGTGGAATAGCTTTGGCGGAAGTATTTAAACTTGAGGCATTTGGATGTCGTGGACGAGATTAACGGTAAATGGTTAACGGTGAAGCGCTTCGAAATGTATCCACGGTATGATGCTCCCTTCATCAGGCACACTCCGTGCACGTGGCAGAACCGTGCCGAGGATCTGAATGGGGAGTGCACGACCCGCGCAGGCAGACTTTATGGCGATGGGAATTAGGTTAAATTACCGAGAGGCGAAGGCGTGTGCCGAAGGTCAGGTGTCATTGCTGGCCATGTACTGATTAACCTGGCAAACTTCACACCATCGATTCTACCCTCACGAATCTAGGTGTTGTTCCCACTGTTTACAGTCTCTGTTGTATCCTTACACGCTCGTAAAATTTTAAGTGTGCGCCATTCGCCTGATCGTAAAAAGACATCTGCGTGTGACTCGTGGACGTCGCAAACGCAGGAACCAACTCCCGGGCGTGCGACCGTCCTGAAGCTCATCGACAAGCACCATCACGCTCACCCTGCCCGCTGGTGGCCCCTGCCGCTCCGTTCACTTTGACAGCTTCGCCGGCGTCGTCACCACCACCGCTGCCCAGTGGGGGTCGATGCGGGGGGGGGGGGCAAGGGAAGGGATCGATGCTCAGGGACGCCGCAACCTCCCGGCTAAATCCGCTGTTGGGGTCCTCTGTGGCCGTGGCTTTACCCCCGGGTGACGCGTGCGGGCTTAGAGATCCGATAATGGACAGCAAAGGGGCCGTTCGCCCAAATTGTCGCCTGGCCGCTAACGCATTTCCACTCCCGGGCAGCGGTCCTGACGATCACTCTCGGTTGTGTTTTGAGCAATTGGCAATTGTCCGAGTGTTATTTTCGACGAGTGACTCACCAACGCGCTGCAGGAGAATGGTCCCCCTGCCCCCCCTGCCCCCCCCCCCCCCCCGCATTCTCCCTCCCGCTTCTGAGTGTAGCCACTGCCCGGTGAAGCAAAGGGCAGCGGCAACAGCCCTCGTACGTGCGTTAAACTTCCTTTGCGCCGCACGGAGCAAACCGCGCTCGTCGGAGGCACGATGACAGATGAGGCTTTTTCCCACGCCGTTTCGATCGTAGGGGATGTTTGACAATTTTTTTACGATTATTTTACCAGGTACTCACTGAGCTACGTAGCTCTTTTTCAGAAGCAACCTGGGCATCACAAATGATAGCCCAATGAAGTGGCTCATGTGAAATTTATAGCAGCCAAATACTCTTAAACGCACGTTTCTAATGTGGAGGGATAAGCCGGAGGACCCGGAGAAAAATCCACGTGACCAGGGGCAGAGAGATACGCAAACTCCAAATATATAGCAGGTGTCAGGGTTGGGATCGAATCCACAATCTCCTGCATACCAGGCGAGGGAGTTAACATCTCGCCACTGCGGCGCCCCTTTATACTTCACACCTGGTGTGAAGGGGAATGGGCTGGGGGGGGGTTCAAATATCAGTCGCCACTGATGGGTAGCCGTGGCCGGTAATCGAACTCGGGTCGCCCGGGATCGTGGTGCGGGCGCCGACCGCTGCGCCGCCGCTCCACCCCATCGCCTGGAGCGGAATTCCCAAGCGTGTCCCTCCGTCCCTCCCGAGCGCGTTCCCGAGTCCGCCGGCTGGGCTGTCCGCGGGGGAGTGCTGCCCCTTGGTGGCCCCCCTCCTCCCCCCCCCCATTCTGCGGTTGTTTTATCGGCGACACCGCTCGGCGCTCGTGGTGAAATCCAAGGACGCCTTAAGGGGCCCCCCGTCGGGTCTCCCGTGCAAACTTGAGAAAACCGAGCTCGTGACAGAGAGCTGCGGTTCCCCGCGCGCAGCCCAATCATTCCGCGTGTGTTCAACCATATTGTTATTATTGTCGAGAGGCGATTGCAACCAGGATATCTCCGCCAGAGGAACGGCGCGGTGCCGCTGTCGCCAGCGATTGAGGAATGTGCATCGTAATCGATAGCAAAGCCTATTGATCGTTCGCAGACTCTGCACTCGGTGTGTTCTTGTGTGGACCGCATGCTGCACGGTATGTGTCTGCTGTGCACCCGATATGCGTTTCGCGCATGTGTGTGACCAGTATCCATTACGCCATTACAATATATACATTGTAACTTTAACTTAAAAAATATTTTTTATTTTTCCGAGCACACTGAGCTAAATAGCTCTTTTTTTCAGAAACAAACTCGCCACAAATAATTCTTCAACGAAGTGGCTTATGTGCAAATAAATAGCGGCCAAATAATTTGAATGCACATTTATAAATGTGGAGGGACAAACCGGAGGACTCGGAGAAAAATCCGCGCAACCATGGGGAGAACATGTCCTGTGTACCAGGCGAGGGAGCTGACATCTCGCCACCGCGGCGCCCACAAGCCAACACGAGCCGTAAAGTTACAATCCACTGCCGCGTGTCGGCCTCCCCACACCTCGTATTGCGGTGGGAGGATTGTTTGACCATACTTCACCAACGCTGCAAGGGGGCAGCGGGGGGGGGGGGGGGTGCGGAGCGTGCGCAGGGACCGGGGGTCGTCGAGACCACGGCTCGGCTCGCCAACTGCGTTGCCACCGTTCCACCCCCGACCTACTCCGTCACGGTATCCACCACCTGTAGAGCTCGTGCGTAGGCATCGCGCCGGCGCGTTCACGCAAGACGCACAGTGCGCGTTCACGCAAGACGCACAGTGGCCGTGAACAATGTGGGTATTTTGCTCTGCAGCGTTTTTTTTCCAGGTGAGGGGGGGGGGATGACCCAGTTTTGCGCAGGTGACCCCTGTGTGTGTGTGTGGCGATTAATCACCCACCCTCGTTGAGCTGGGAGGGTTCCCGCTGAGCCAGATTGTAACTTGGAAACACGGTCATCGAAGACGATGAGGCTTCGTGTGCCCCGTCCGTGTCAGCGTATCTTAAATCCTGCATCGCTGGGCATTCATTATCTCAATTGTGATGTGGTTGGCATTTGCGATGAAGCCTATCGCATTGTAACATGTCTCTTCGCCCTATTATCTGTCTTTTCACGTGCGCACAAATGTTAAGGTAAGCTGCTTCACTCGTTTCCAAACATAGTTTTTTGCTTACCGCATGGATAGGTTTATTGCCAGATGGGTAACACCGCCAAATTGTAAAGTTCCTATCATCGGGGGATCGTCGTCGCGGGGTCATTGCGGGGTCGTGAATCCCAAGTGTTTTTGGCACTCTACTAACGATGTTTTGTGACGCACGCACGCAGCGGCTGCTTGACAATTGCACTGACACACAGGCATTCCCGACAAGTGCCACGTTAAACGAGGAATTACTTGTGCGCACACAGCAGGGAATAAATTAATACAAATTCCGCAAATTTGAATCACATTTGCACTCTAAAAATCAGCCTGCAGTCATTCCGTGGCGGGACAGAACCGAGATGAGGGTATGCCACTACGGCGTACCGTATCATTCCACACGTAGAACCGGAGCTCCCGTAGCGCTCGACCACGCAGCTTGAGAAAGTAGTTGGTCGTCGACTGCGTTGCAACGGCGCGCGTTCCTCGTTACCCAAAGTGTTCCCTCAAAGAGGAACTGTTACACGCATTAAGCGAGCACCATCTTTCAGAATCGGAGTATTTATTTATAGCTGGAGGAATCCAATGAGCTATAAAGCTCTTTCACTGGTGTCCAGTAAGGGAACGGGGTAAGAACGTTACAATGACAAACAAAAACACGATAGGAGTGCAAAGTACAAGAAAGGTGAACAAATCACCTGAACACAAACAGATAAAAACAAACCACCCCCATCTTAGCAGGCAAAGCCCACTGAGGTATCAACTTACTTTTCACAAGCGAACTGGCCACAAAATGATAGCTCAATAAAGTGGCTTTGGAACATTTATATCAGCAAAATAATCTAAATAATCCCAATGCCTGTTTCTAAACGTGGAGGGAAAACCGGAGGACCCGGGTAAAAAATCCCAGCCATCCAAAAACCCATCATCCCTTAATCATGAATTATAATCAGACGACAGGTTCAAAAGTTGGCGTTGTAAAGTTTACCCACACGCACGCCCGCGGTGGTGGCGGTGTGAAGATTCTATCGCGTGAATTTGAACTCTAAACCTCCCGCTTCGGTGACGGCGACGCTCGGCGATGTTTGAAGGGAGTCCCCGGGGTCTCCCCAACGCGGCGTGACATCGAGCGTAGCGGTGACCTCGGTCTCTGGACCTCTTACCTGGTCTCTGGACCTCTCAAATAAACGCCTGCGCCCATCTCCTCCAGCGATCTTTCCAACCGCAGTTTCTGACCGCGGTCCTTTTCACTTGAGTTGCCCGGCCCTCGGCAGCTCGCTCCTGAAAGGAACCGCTCCGTGCCTCCCATTTAGCACGGGTGGCCTTCGTACTTTGCGGAAAAAGTTCAACATACACACCAGCCGGGAGAGTCCAGCTCTCGTGCTGCTATTAATTTCCACCTGATAAGCCGCTTTTGTTGCTTCATCATTTGTGTCCAGGTCGCGTCTGAAAAGAGCTACACAGCTCAGTGGGCCTTAGCTGGTTAAATAAAAACATTGTTCAATAGCTGAGTTTAAGCTGCAGCGCACGGGACTTGTTCTGTCCGCCAGTCGCAGCGCTCACTCGGGACCCGTGTGGTGTTGATGCCGAGGTTGCGTGCACGATGATGCCGTTGTACCTGCACCGCCGCTCGTCGTGACAGCTGACGGTCAGAGTGATGTCAGGGGAAGGGCGATCGGTGGGGGGCCACCTGAAGTGAGTGTCGCCGTCGGTGGTTTTGTGTGCCAGGAGCCGGCGACGTGCCCCCCGGGACGTGGTTCGGGGATGGACTTCTCTCCCATTCACACGTACTCCCCGCCAGAGTTCGCGCCCGACAACACGGGGTACACCTACGCGCTCAGGTCAGTCCCCGCACCAACTCACTCGTCGTCACCGTTGTCGTCATCGTCAGCATCGTAGCCATCATCATCGTCACCGTCGTCATTATCACCGTCACCGGTTGTCGTAGTCAACCCACTGCCGGTTGAAGGCCTTGCCAAGCCATCGCCATCTCTGAACGCGAGCTGAACTCATCACTCCTTCACGACGGGGCGTGTTCTGTTCCTTTGACTGCTGCCCTGTTTGTTGTTCAGCAGTGCGATGTCTGTAACCTGCGCGTGTTCTCCCGTCCGTGTGTTCTCTTGCCTCTCCGCGTCATTTTATAACATTCATCTGGCATTGCTTCTTTTGTGCACTTTTCACTTTTCGTTCGATTGAGCTGTCAACGCATATGGGCTCGTCTAAGAGGGAGCTGCGTTTTGGTGATTGTTTACCTTTGCTTTCACTTCCTTACTCCTCACCTTGTGTAATTTAGATCTATCAGTGACCTACCGATGTCATCGAGCGATCGAAATAACTACGGAGTGACAATAATCCACAAGGTCGGTCACGGGTCCATCCCCCCTCCTACGTCAGCAGTTCTCCTGCTGATGACAGTTGCTTGTGTTGCGATCAAAACGTCGTTATCTATTACTTTTCTATCTACGTGACTTTACTGAAAGAACCAAAGAGTATGGATTCCTGTAGTCACGAAAGCTTTAAATCAAGATTCTTAATGAACGTCAGCACCCACTTCAACCCGGGCTGTCGGCGAATAACGATATGCTGCAGTCGCACCAATCGGAGGGCAATCTACGGGAACTGGCACAGGGTCCTGCCGCTAAATAATTGCGTTGTCTGGGGAGAAGCGTGGCTCTCGGAGAGAGAAGTGGTGAGCGGATATTGCCTCTAACTTCTGCTTATGAAACACAATCGCCATTTTTCCCATTGGTTATTTATATTTATTTATACATCTATTTATACAAAAAGCCAAACAAGCGACGACGTTACTTGCGGCCATCCGTGATTGGCGGGGACGCAGTCACTGTTGCGTGCGCCTTTGGGGTGGCTGGATTAGCCACCTGCCACAGCCTCGGCGTTCCCGGCGAATGGCGGCAGAGTGCACGTGTCGAGGCGACCCGCGGCGCCGTGTCCACGCACGTCCACGCACATTCCTGCACGTCCATGCGCGCCCACGCGTGTCCGTGCGTGTCCACGCGAGTCCGCGTGCGTTCCCACGTGAGTCCGCGTGAAGTCGTGCGTGTCCGCGCGCACGCTCGCCGGGTTGTTGTGAAAAGTCGGCCGGCGTCAACGTGTCCGTGCCATCGTCGTCTCGCCAAATCGTCGACCGTGGCCCGCCGCCCGACCGCAGCGCGCCGTGCTTGCGGCGCTCTCGTTGCCTCCGTGAAATGTTTACCCGGGGGAAGTGTGGGCACCCCCCCCACCGTGTTAAGTGCCAGGATAGATTCGCTGGAAGCGGCGCAAAGTCGTTTCACAATGAAGTTTTTTTTTAGGGCTGGGCCATTGCTCACTGGGGTTACGCTCTGAGATGGCGCAATCCTCTGGAGGAAATGTCGTTGAGTTTCAGGTTGCCAAATACTTTGAGGGGTGTAATTCAGATGCTAATTATACAAATAATTAGTGGGCACGTTTTAATTGCACGCAGTGCGGACCCTGCCCGTGCCTGCTTGGAACCCGTGGGTTGGGTCTGACGGGGTGTTGAGCTAAGCTATTTGTATTGTTCATTGCTACAAGCCGGCGGGCGGCTTGAGAGTCTAGCCGAGTGTTCCTGTACAGGAGATACGCTCGCCCTTGTACAGTAAGTGAAACTATAAAATAGAACTATAAACGATTGTTTTTATTTTACCAGGTAAGGCCCACTGAGCTCTATGTAGCTTATTTTTCAGAAGCGACCTGGCCACAAGTGATAGCTCAACAAAGTGGCTTATCACGTGGAAATTTATAGCAGCCAAATCCTCAAAATGCGTGTTAAAAAATGTGGAGGGAAAAACCGGAGGACCCGGAGACAAATCCACACGACCTCCTGTATACCAGGCGAGGCAGATGACATCTTGCCACCATGAGATTCTGGCAGAGGTTTCCAAAAAAATTGGGATTCATTGCGAGGGGTTTGTGATACGATTTGATACGCTGAGTGTGTGGGGGGCAGGGTGCGGTGGCACAGCGGTTAGCGCACTGCACGACGAACCCAGCCACTCGAGTTCAGTTCCCGCTCGCGACCGACCGATACTTGCGGCGAAAGTCCGAATCAGTCGTGGGCCTCACCTGATGCGTAACCGTCAGCACCGGGGAGACAAAGGTGGCCCAGCGTGGTGCTAGAGAACGGCCCACGGAAGCCGATATCACAGAACTACCGCTGACATGAGTCCGAGCGACCTCTATCCCCGTCGGTGTTTAATGGGCAATTGGATTCATTGCCTGCTCATTCTAATTGTCAGTGCCTCTTATCCACCATCTACCACCACAGCTAAACCCAGGCCCTTAAGCGCTCTGTGCATTTATTTACACACTGTACACAGATGGTTTTATTGTTGGGAACTGTTCACGGGACTGTTGACTTGTAGTGTTTGCTGCTCCCTGGTCTCATGTTCATTCTCGGCCGCCTGATTCTCGGCCACGTAATTCTCGGCCGCGGGGAGGGGAGGCGAGTGTAACGCTTGAAGGGCTTCCGTCACATGCGCTACTCGCAATGGGAAACCAGCAAAGCACTCTCATCTCTTGTCAAACTCCGTCCTTTACCTGTCTTGTACCTCGCGTTGCGGGGTCCGCCGCCGCCGTGCCGCGAGGAGGACCGCTGTGGACGCGAGCCAAAGCTGCGGCGCCCATCGCTTCATCTCCACTCGCGTCAAATACTGTGCCTCCTTTGTATTGACTCGCTGAATAAGAATTTAATAATTTAGAAAAGGGGTCCGAGCATTCGACAGCAGTGGGGGGGCTAAGCCTTCTTCAGCCCAACCCCCTCCACCTCCCCCCGACGCTACGGGGCTCAGCGGTCAGGTTTAAGCGACGCGCGCAGCCGTTGGTGAAGCTGCCGCGCCAGCGGCGCGGGCACAAGCGCTGGCTTTGTGCGCTCGCCACTGCTAGCGCGGGCGTCTGGCGGCAGCCGGAGAGCACCTGCGCGTGGAGGGGGTGACCGGGGGGGGTAGGGGGGTGGGTGGGGTGCCAGTGGATTAATCCTCGCAGCTGCGCGCTGCCGTCGTGAAATATTGATTTGTCGGCAGCGTTGCGCAGCGCCGCCACGTGCCGGGGGGGTTCCGCCGTTGTCTCTCTCGGAAACCGCTCGGAGCTGTGTTGGAGCGTCGTAAATTAATGGCGGCTGCCGTCCGACCGACGGAAACTTTGGCCGCGTCGCCTCGCGGCGCTGACGGTGAACGGCGCCGTGGATTCTCGTCGGGTGCGTGAGCCCGACGCCCGTGGCAGCGTAACGCGCGCCCCGAGCGCGTTCTCAACACGCGGTGGGTGGGTGGGCGAACGCTGCCCGCGTAGTTTCTGGCGGTCGTGCCATACAGCTGTTCGACGCTCGCACGGGCCAGGAGCTTCTTGATTAATTTAATTTCGAATCGTGCGTTTATCCAGTGTTTGGCTGCTGCTATAAATGTCCACGTGACAAGCCACTTCATTGGGCTATCATTTGTGATGGCCAGGTCGCTTTTGAAAAGGAGCTTTCTAGCTCAGTGGGCCTTACCTGGTAAGATAAAATTGAGTTTAGTTTTATTAACTTATTGAAGAAGTCCCCCGTAGGAGGTCGTGCGTTCAATACAGACCCTGATGCCTTTCGTGTATTTGGAGTTTGTGGTGTCTCTCTCCCCGTGGTCGAGTGGATTTTTCCCCGGATCCTCTGGTTTTTCCCTCCACATTTTGAGTCGAACATCATCACGCGTTTAGAGTATTTATGGCTGCTGCTTCATTGAGCTATCATTTGTGACCAGGTTACTTTTGAAAAATAACTCTACAGCTCAGTGGGCCTTACCTGGTAAAATAACAAACTTGATAGTTTTAGTTTATTTAATTCACTTGTTAAAGAAATTCCCAGCGCAGTGCCGAACCACGCGAGGTGCCACTCAGAAACAACGCATCCGAGTCCGGGCAGCGTCCGTTCCACACGGGGTATTGGTTTGTGTTCAACGTAATACAACATTTTTGCCAATTGTGCTTTGGGCAAACTGGTCCCCGCCATACGAATGTGGAATTTCTATCACGGCCGCATGCATTGCGGATTGAGCGCGGATGACTCGGAGCGCTGAGCAGCACCGTGGAGGGCCTGGTGTGGATCTGGGAGTGGCCATTACCCGGAGTTGAACCGGGTTCTCAGTTGAAGCGACGACTGCACGCAAAAATAATTTTATTCGATGTGTTTCACTGAATTTGGTTAACATCCAACTCTGAGACTCAAAGAGCCTTTGGTTTGTTTAACACGTAGGCTTTCTCGACCAATATCATCCATAATACAGGTTTTTTAGGGTTCGATCACGTATATATTTAGCCTTGGGTTTCATTTACATGATTGACATGCGACCCCGTGGGAGATGGCATCGGCTTGGGGAAGTCTTCATCCAGCAGTGGATGGATCGTAGCAATTGATGATGGACCCTCTGTTCACCACGCTAACAGAGTTTGTCCAGTGTGACCCAGAAGTCACGGCGGTTTTCTCACGCGTGGTCCGGCTGCAGGAGCAACACAGAGCCTGAGCAGTGTCCAGCTCGTATCTGTGCTCGACCACATGCCGAGCAGCTGGGCACGGTCGGTCATTCGAAAAATTCGCCCACCCTGCCCCCCACCCTGCCCCCCCCCCCCCACCTCGCTCCCTGCCCCGCCCCCCGCCTCGCCTCCCACCCATCCAACCCCACAGCTCTCAAACGTTGTTAATCGGCTGTGTCTCTCTTCGTTGGAGAACCGATGGGGGGTGTAGTGCCGGCTCTCGTGGGTGAGGCGAGATTTGGAGAGCGTGAGTGGGAGTCGGTGGGGGTGGGCGGTGCGGGTGACCTCGTGAGCGACCGAGACGCCGTCCGGGAGTCCTGTCCCG